AAGGAATAATGATAGTCAGACAACATTAAAGGTCTACTTAAGTAATAAAAAAAAAAACACTGCAATTTCCAAACTACTATCTAAACACGTATTTAGGAGATTAAAAGTTAATAAGTAAATTAGTAAATATCTTCATAGGCCCATGAAGTCAGGGGCCCTATGTGTCCCTCAAGTCTATTTCATGAAAATAACGCTTAGAACAGCACAGATGCTCAACAAACAGTTGTTGAATGAATAAATACTGGGTGCTGAAAATGAGAAACCAAAACAGTCTTTACAGATTGATTCTTAAAAATGAAAAATGGGGGGGGCCTCCCCTGGTGGCGCAGCGGTTTAGCAGTAGGCTGTGAAGCTGCCCTCAGCCTCTGCAGTGCCGGTTCGATCCCCGGCCACTGGCGAGGGTCCCACATGGCGCGACAGACCTCTCCTGCTGCGCCTGTTGCTCCCCTCAGCAATGTATTTCTTCGTCAGTCTGCCTGTTCTGTTCCCCGCTCTGGTGAATTCTCTCACCCTCCCGCGCTTCTGACTGTACCCAGTGCTTGTATAAATAAATAAAATCTTTAAAAAAAAAAAAGGAAGAATGGGGGGCCTCCCTGGTGGAGCAAGGGGTTAAGTACTGCACTAGGAAGCAATCTGCACCTTCTGCAGCACGAGTTTGTTCCCCGGCCTGCCAGGGAGCAACCCACATGGCGAGGCAGACCTCTCCTGACTTGCCTGCTGCTCCCCTGAGCAGTGTCTTTCAGTCAGTCTGCCTGTTCTGTTCCCCACTCTGTCTCGGGTGAATCCTCTCACCCCTCTCCCGGCACCTCTGGCCTGTAGCCCAGTTCTTGTATGCATAAATAAATAAAAATCTTAAAAAAAAAAAAAAAAAGAACAGTGATGTAAAAAATAAAAAAAAAAATATGGACTTCAATACTACCCACATTTTAAAAACTCTTCGAACCAGTGGTTCCTAACATTTTTAGGTTCTGGGGCCCTCTGAGAAATCTCATTAAAGCTGTTGCTATCTGCCTAAAAAATCTGACTTTTTGGCCTCCCTGGTGGCACAGCGGGTTGAGCCCTGCGCTGTGAAGCTGTCTGCAGCCTCTGCAGCGTGGGTTTGATTCCTGGCCGGCCAGGGAGATATCCATATGGTGTGGCAGATCTCTCCTGTCTCGCCCACTGCTCCCCTCAGCAGTGTTTTCAGTCCATCTGCCTGTTCTGCTCCCCACTCTGTCTCTGGTGAATCCTCTCACCTTCCCGCGCTTCTGACCTGTACCCCAGTTCTTGTATAAATAAATAAATCTTTTAAAAAAAAACAACAAAAAAACCCCTGACTTTCCTTGAGGAGAGACATTATTTTCCAAGTGCTTATCAGAAGGAATGGCATATTTCTTGCACACTCATAGCAGAAGGGCTGCCAGTTTTGATTTTTGTTTTAAATGCAAAAGTATAATTTAAGAGCCTAATTTGTATTATAATAGTGTCTTCTAAAATGGTAGATAAAGGTGGCCATTATTATCTCCATTTAAAGGGAGATAAAACCAAAGATGAGTTCAATAAAACTGTTGCAGTGATGACAGAAAAGCAGAGGATAAACCAGATTAAAGAATTTTCAATTACTAGTCAATTATTGGTATCATCACAGAAACCACTGGTCCTCAAATTCTAGGGCCAATGGCATCCAAATACAGATTGTCATGTTCTATACCAAATGGTCCAGATATTTTGGGTCAAGCTCAGAAACAGTGAACAGGCAGCTCTTTCTGCCCGCTTGTGTCTATGCAAGTGTCCTTTATTCTTCTGTCCCCTTTCCCTAATAAATCTGCTCTTTAAATATTAAAAAAACAAACAGTTTTGAACAACCAAAAGTTTAACTCTTCACTTAGTACAAACTGAGACCAACTCAGCTTCTTGAATGTGAAACCTCCTGAGAAGCCAAAAGGGCAGGGTAGCAGTATATGCCATCCCAAAATGTGCCTCTTAGGCGTAGGATCATTTTGAGAAACAGGTGTAAGAGAAGCTCAAAATAGTATAGAACTTAGCTTTATGTATGGGGAATTTATACTTATACTTTTGTAAGGGTGTTTCTCTCTTAGTAACAGGAAGAGAAGGAAGACTCAGGAATCTTATTGATAGAAAAATCACCTAATTAAATTGACCTAACAAACCTTACTTTTCTTTTACAGAGCGTTTCCTGGTAACATTCTCATAATGCCATCCCCACTGTCCCCACACCTTTTTTGTCTTTAGCTGAAGATGGTACTTAAACTAGTGGCTTGGGCCTCCTAGGGCAGAGGAGTTATGTACTTTTCCCTGAATATCTCCCATGTACTCATGAGGTATGCATGCTAATGACTTCTGCTTTTTTTTTAAGAAGGCGGTGGGTAGGAAAGAAGGTTGTTCACTATTCTTCCCAATTCTTATACCACTAACTTGGAACTACATTTAGTCCTCCTTGAAAAAAATTAAGGCACATTTATTTCTTCCATAGCTTTTATCACCATTTGTTTTTTTTTTTTTTTTTTTAATAGAGGCATGTTTTTATTTATTATTTGTTTGTTTGTTTGTTTTGTTTATACATGCACTGGGTACAGTCAGAAGTGCGGGAGGGTGAGAGAATTCACCGAGCCATAGCGGGGAGCAGAGCAGGCAGAAGGACCAAAGTACACTGGTGAGGGGAGCAGCGGGCGGCAGGAGAGGGCTGCGCACCATGTGGGACCCTCCTCTGGTGGCCGGGGAGCAGCCGGGGATCGAACCGGCGCCGCATAGGCCGCGGGCAGCTTCGCAACCGAGCGCTCAACCGCTGCGCCACCGGGGAGCCCTATCACCATTTGTTTTTACTTCAACACTATCACCATCTGACATATTTTCTGTTTTCTTTAATGGTTCATTTCTTACCACGAGAGTGTCAGCTCATGAGAACAGAGATTTTAGGTAAAGAAAAGCAAGTAGAGCTTCTTAACAGGTTCCTCTGGGTGATTCCTCCCTTCCTCCCTCTCCTTATCCTGCTGTTCTTCCTACAAGGATGCGCAAAGCACTTACTATGCAGCAGGCTCTGCTTTAAGCACTGGAAATACAGTGAGGAAAAAAACATAAAAATCTCTGCCCTCATAGAGCAGACACTCTAGTGGAGAGGCAAACAAATAAACACAAAGATGGTGACAGTGTTGCAGAAAAAAGAAATGCACTTTAATATATGCATATTATTAACTGAAAGAAAACAAAGTGGAAAGGCTACATTATTGTAAATAATCTGGAAAAGGCACATCTATGAAATAAAAGGATTGGTGGTTTCCAAGGAAGGGGCAAGAAGGAAGGGGTGAAGGTGGAGCACACCATGATAACTGTGAGGTAGAATATTTGCACTAAGCTGTACCTTTTCTCAGGAATGAGATAGAAGAGCCATCCTCACAGAACTGGATCCAGCTACGTATTCCCAATATGGTGACTGAGTGTTCTACATGGAGGGGAGGGGAGACATATGCAAGAATGTGGGGTGCATGAGGAGACCAGAACTTCTGTGCATGACCCTCACGATTCTTTTTTTTTTAAGATTTTTTTACTTATGCATACAAGAACTGGGGTGTAGGCCAGAGGTGTGGGGTGGTGAGAGGATTCACCAGAGACAGAGTGGGGAGCAGAACAGGCAGATCTACTGAAATACACTGCAGAGAGGAACAGCGGGTGAGATAGGAGATGTCTGTTGCGCAATGTGGGCTAGCTCCCTGGCCTGGGACCTAACCTATGCCCCAGTGGCTGGTGATAGCTTAATAGTGCTGAGACTTTAACCCTTGAGCTACCAGGGAGGACCAACCCTCTAATTCTAGCCTTAATTCATGATGTGCCAGTCCCCCAAATAAAAGGGAATTCCTTCCTGAAGAGTTCTCTCTTCTCCATTGTTTATCAGGCAATAAAATTCTTGGTTTGTTTAGCTGAAACTTGTTTCTGAATTTTTGGCTTTGGGTCACCAGGCAAATGGATCATCACTTTAAGGGGAGTTTGCTAACAGTATTATACTATAATAATAGATATAATAATTACACATTTGTCAAAGCCCATAGAAAGTACAACATAAAGAATGAAGTCTAATGTAAACTATGGACTTCAGTTATTAATAATTAACACCGGCTCATCAGTTATGACAAATGTACTACACTAAAGCAACTATTAACAGAGGAATGCGGAGGAAGTTGTAACAGGTATTTGGAAACTCTACTTTCCACTCATTTTTCTGTAAACCTGAAACTGCTCAAGAGGATATAATAATGAATTAAAACACACATACACCAGAAAAGAAGTGCAGTGGTATGAGGTGGGGTGGCCTACTTTGGAATTTTAGAATCTGGGAGATGAGCGAGGGTGGCCCAAATGTCCCAACTCTCTTAGGGTGACAGTATCATATATTGGGATAAATGATGAAAGCCTCAGGAGAGCAAGTAGATGAGGTTATGGAGGGTGGAGGCTCTCTGGGGCTCTGTCTTCACTCCTGCTAATGGTGATAGGAGGTAAGGGTGGGAGACAGGCTTATTCTTAGTTATAGGCTTTATGTTATCCCACAATCTACAAAATATATTCAGATTTATGGCCTACAAAACTGGAGACTTTACCAAACCTCTGCCCCATCCGCCTTCCTTTAAGTGGTAACTATTGCTTTAATCTGTTCTTAGTTTTCTTTTTTTTTTCTTTAAAGATTTATTTTATTTATTTATGCATACAAGAGCTGGGGTGTAGGCCAGAGGTATATGGGGCAGGGAGGGGTGAGAGGATTCACCAGAGACAGAGTGGGGAGCAGAACAGGCAGATCTACTGAAATACACTGCTGAGGGGAGCAGCAGGTGAGACAGGAGAGGTCTGCTGCACCATGTGGGTAGTTCCCTGGCCAAAGATTGAACTCATGCTGCAGTGACTGCCAATAGCTTCACAGTACTGAGACTTAACCCCTTCCACCCCTGGGGAGCCCCCTGTTCTTTTTCTATGGGATATTTAAATAGTCTTTATGGGAGAGTAGCTGTTCCTACCAGGACACCTGGTTTTCAAGTCTTGACTCTTGTGAGAAGATTTAGAAGTATAAAATGGCAAATATTCCCAGGAGCCATCTTCACATTTCTTCATGAAGTGATCAAAGAGGAGTCTTATGTCCTTGCTCCAGCTGGGGTTGGGGAGAGAACGATCCTTAAGAGTGACTTTCTCAGAAGAAAACGACCTCTAAAAGATAGAGAGGAGAAAAAGAAGAGTAATAGAAGGCGTATCCTATTGCATCACATATTCTCCTATTTTCTGATCATTCTTGCTACTTTTCCTGTTCCCAGAGCTTGTCTTTTCAGAGAGGAAGCAAATTTCAAGGGTCACTGGTTCAACCTCCTTGGGAGAAATGGGAGACTGAAAGAGGGAATGATACCCTTGCTGTCACCCTACTAGCTATTGGTAGAGATGGCATTAAGACCAGGTCTGCAGACACCCTTCCTTTTTCAAACTTTAAACAAGCACAGGTGAGCCAGCCCTGGAGATAAAGAGGGGGGATGAAGGACAGAATTTCCTCCATGATTAAAGAAAGTGCTGCCACTGGGGAAGTCAGAGCATAAGGGAGAGTTGGTATGCATCTCAGACTGGGGATTCAAGAGGAGCCTTTTGACTGGAATTTTGATTTAGACAAGCGAAAGAAAGTATCAGAAAGAAAGATTAGAGTATTGTAGGCAAAGGAACACTAAGTGCAAAGCAAGGATGCATGAAACAGTTTTGAGGGATTAATTATTATCCACATTTTATAGATAATGAAACTAAGGCCTACAAGAAGTTTGACATTATTTTGCTGCAATGAGAAGAGCAGATGGCTGCAGAGATGTAGGCAAGGGTGACTATGAGAAGCCTCCACACTAGGCTAACTGCTGAGTTGTATCTACAGAGCTCTCAGAGGGATTTAAACAGGGGAGTGCTATCAGATCTGGCCATAACATGAAAGATACTGGGAGTAACCAAGATTGGAATCAGAGGGCCATGTCTGGAGGCTAATGGGGTAACCCATGTGAAAGTTATGAGCATATAAGGAGAACTTGTGATTATTTGGTAAGGAGAGTAAGGAAGAAGAGGAAAATACAAAAGAACCAATCCCAGGTTTGGGAATTGTGCAACAGAATGTACGACAGAGGCAAATGTCAAGAAAGAGAACATGAAGAATAGGGGCCTCCTAGGGGACTTAACCTAGGGGTTATGTCTCAGCACTTTTACTGCTGCTGCCTGAGTTTTATCCCCCACCAGGGAGCTACCCACATACTGCACAGCAGACCTCTCGGTCTCATCCACTGCTCCCCTTAACAGTGTATTTCAGGGGTCTCCCCTGGTGGCGCAGTGGTTGAGCGCTGGGCTGCGAAGCTTCCCGTAGCCTCTGAAGCGCCGGTTTGAACCCCGGCCACCGGCGAGGGTCCACATGGCGCGCAGACCTCTCCTGCCGCGTACCTCAACCTGTTCTGTTCCCCACTCTGGCTCTGGTGAATTCTCTCACCCTCCCGCGCTTCTGACTGTACCCAGTGCTTGTATAAATAAATAAAATAAATCTTTAAAAAAGAAAAAAAAGAATGTAAGCTCCACAATGGCAAGAATTTAAAAACAAACAAACAAACAAAAAAACCCAAAAAACAAAAACAGTGTATTTCAGTCAGTTTACCTGTTCTGCTCCCCACTCTGTCTCTGGTGAATCCTCTTGCCACCTGCACCTCTGGCCTACACCTCACTTTTTCTATGCAAAAAATAAATATATAAAAAAAGAAGAGAACGAGGTTTGGGGGAACAAGTGCTTCACGTCATAGTATAGTATAACTTATGGTATAAATAGAACTTATAGTATAACTTATAGTAACAATGGCTCTATCCATGCTTTTCTCTGTAGCACTACATACTGCTTACTTCTCTAGTGCCGGCAGCCAAGTGACATGGTACAGGGGCCACTGAGGACTTGGGGAATAAAGTGTGACCTACTAAGGAGCAGGGCAAGTGAATGCTCACAGGCACCAGAAAGGAAAATCCATTCTTTTAACTTCCAGGGAAATCTTTAAACATTAAGGCCATAGAAGCTATCATTCCACTTCTGGCCATCAAATCAATTCATTTGGATTTAGTGTACCTACAATGCTTGGACTGTACCCCAAAGTCAAAATAAGGGAGGCTATGTTTACTGTGATGAAAGAGCTGGCTCTGATCTTAGCCTGATGGTAAGAACATGGAGAGCCTGACTCAAGAACTCTATGAAAGGGCCTCCCCGGTGGCGCAAAGGTTGAGCGCTGGGTTGTGAAGCTGCCCGCAGCCTCTGCCGCGCCGGTTCAATCCCCGGCTGCTCCCCGGCCACAGGAGGAGGGTCCCAAATGGCGTGCAGCCCTCTCCTGCCGCCCGCTGCTCCCCTCAGCAGTGTACTTCGGTCTTTCTGCCTGCTCTGCTCCCCGCTCTGGCTCTGGTGAATTCTGTCTCCCTCCTGCACTTCTGATTGTACCCAGTGCTTGTATAAATAAATAAATAAATCTTAAAAAAAAAAAAAGAACTCAATGAAACTAATAATTTCTTGGCCAAACAAGAGGGAATATTGACTTTGTGAGTGGAAACATGAGCAGGATAGAGATCACTCCACTCCCTCGCCTAGGATTTGTACCTCTGTTTTTTCTTTATGGTTTTCGACTGGCTCATTTCTTCAGAACCCAGTTCAAAAATTTTGGGAAAGAAAGAAGAGAAAAACAATCTTAAAAGACCCAACTATTATCTTTCCAGCTTACAACCAAAAGAAAAAATTCTGATGTATTTTCTTCAAGTTTTTTTAAATGTAACTTTTCTTAATGTAACTGTAATCTCAGTAACGAAAATACATTTTTAGTATAATTTTATTGTATTAATAATATTTAGTGTTCACTTCCTCATGTCCTTAATCTCAATTTCACTTGTGGGTCTGCTAAACTTAAGCAGCCTGTCGGGCCATCATTACTGTTACCTGCAGTTCAGCATTTCCATACAAGGTCAGAACTGCCCTGTCAATCAGTCACAGGAGCCAAAATTTACAAGGTACTTTTCAAATCAATCAAAAGCAGAAAGCTTGATCACTCTAGGAAGGGTATGCATCAACAGGTATGACCAGGAATGCCCGGGGTGGGGGAAGGGGGTGACGATGGATGCAATAACTTACTCCCAATTTATACATCATGAGGTATGACCAGGAATGCCCGGGGGGCTGAGGACCAATGTATGTATGACAAGGGACCCCAGAGAGATGATCAGTGGAACGCCTTGTTGATAAGATTAGGACCATGGCCGGGGGGTCTGGGGTCTGCTTTTGATTACAACACTTGATCATCAAGCAGATAAGAATTATCTGTCAGCAGACTCATGTCCCTCCGAAGCCCTAGATGAAATTCCTTACTTTCACCCATCCTTTTCTCCTTGCCCTCCTAACCCCGTAACTGATGCTGCTGTATGATTATTCCATCAATAAAAACGGACAAGATCTTGCTCTTCAGCAGCATCCTGCATTATGTAGCCTGCTCCATGACTCCCATTTTTTTTATCAGTGTTGTGTTGCACAATGCAACATTCACTAATTTCAGTGGCAAAAAAATAGTCCTTTAAAATGATGTACTATAATTTAGCTAATCATTTAAGTTGGACATTAAAATTATTTCCAACTTTTTCTGTTTGAAATGAAAATGTCCATTAGAACATTAGAAAAAGGCCTCTTTCCTATTTTCAATCTTTTCCTTAGAATCCAGTCTTAATCATGTAACTTTTAAAGTACATGAATTCTGAAAGTAACTTCACAGACACAATTAGTCACAAATTAATATGTACTGACTAATAGGTGTCAGTTGAGAGGGAGAATAGGATGTGTAGGCTTTAGAGTTATGAATTTGGGCTCATCTCATCCATAGGTCTCATGTTAAATAAGCAACTCTAGGTCTGATCTGTTACAGCAATTTTCTGGGGAACAGTGCAATAGATAAAAAAAGAACTTTAAGTATTAGAATGACTCCTGGGATGGTGGACTCTCCTACCTGATTTTAACTTTGCAAGTCTGAGATTAACATACAGATGACTAATGGGCACATGAAAGAATGCTCATTGTCACTCATTAGGGAACACACAAATCAAAATCACAATGAGATACCTCTTTTCTGTGAGAATGGCCTAAATCAAAAGGACAGAATGAAAAGGTGTCAGTGAGGGATGCAGAGAAAAAGAACCCTCATACATTGTTGGTGGGAAGGTAAACTGGTCCAGCCCCTGTTAAAAATAGCATGGAGGTTTCTCAAAATATTAAAATAGATGTACCATATGATTTAGCAATTTCACTCCTAGGTATCTATCCCAAGAATATGAAAACATTAACTCAAAGTGATATAGGCACTCCTATGTTCACTGCAGTCCTATTTACAATACAATTACAAGATACAGCAACAACCTAAGTGCTTATATAACAGATGAATGGATTAAGAATGTGTGTTATATATACACAATGGAATGCTACGCAGCTTTAAGAATAAATGAAATCTTGGTATTTGTGAAAAGATAGCTGGAACTGGAGGGGATTATGCAAGCAACAGTGAAATAAATCAGAAGGAGAAAGACATATATCAGATGATTTTATTCACATGGAATAGAAAGAAACAAAACAAAGGAACAAAGCTAAACCAAAACAAATCCTTGAAATCTCACTGCACATTGAGGTTACCAGAATTGCAGTGGGGTTGGGTTGAGGAACAAGGTAGAAGGGATCCAGTGGAATACTGTGGAGGATTATGGGTTAGTTGATGGGTACGGTAAGGTAGCATACATTTTAAGAGGTATGAACCTATACCCCCTAAATCATATAGAGTGTTGTAAGCCGATGTTACCTCAATAAAAAATGATGTAATTTAAAAAAATCTGAGATTTAAATAAAACAAACTTTTTTGTGTCCTACTGTATGCCCTGATTCTGTGACAGGAATACTTAATACAGAAAGAAGACTTAGTCCTATCCTCAAGTGCTTACAGTCTTTAGTGTAAAAATGCTACATCAGACACAGGAGCGACTTTCAAAGAACGCTTCAAAAAGATGAGGACTGGTGGAATGATCTTTGCAGGATGAAGAGTTAACTAAGGAGAGAAGGGTAAGGCTGCTCCATGTGAGGGCATGGAGAGATGAATCACACATAATGTATGTTGGAGAACCGTTAGGATTTCAGTTCTCGTGGATATAAGATACAAAGGAAATAGCAGCAAGATGTGGATGGCAAAGTAGAAAGGGGATGAGAATCACACTGGAGAGGCTCTTTGACCTTACCACAAGGTTCTCCTAGGTCAATGTTTCCAAGGTCAATAAGAAAGATGATTTTTCGATGGCACAAGAACAGAATATGTATTTTTAAGTGCATATTATAAAAGGTCATAAATAGCACATCACACTTATAACTTCACAAATGTTATTACTTAGGAAACAATTCATTAAGAAAGGGAGTCTTTGAAAGTTCATTAAAAGTAACTTGAGCAGTTACTTTTTCTGTTAGGTGGAGTCTTAGGGAGTTTAAGCAAAGCAGAAATATAAACTTAAGGTTTAGAAAGCTGGCTCAGAGGTAAAGGATGAGAAGCAATGGTGGGGAAATCAGTTAAAATACTGGTGGGGAAATCAGTTAAAACACTGTGGCAAAGATCTAGGTGAGAAATCTTCCGAACTTGAACTAAGTAGAGAAGAATAAAAACAAAATATTGAAGAAATATTAAGGGGACAGGGACCAAGGTATGTAGAGAGTGACTGAAGGGGTAGAGAAAGTCTTGGATAATTCCAGTCAGGGCTCTGAAGATTGGAAATGGATAGAAGGAAAAGAAAGAAGAGTTTTTTCTTAGCATTCCTGTGCATTTTAGGAGGCAGAGGGAACTATTTAATTTTAGTTTGGGGCATACTCAATCAAGATTCTAGATGAACACTACAATGTTTTGAGAAATACAAATAATTAAAGTTTCAGTGCAAGGAGATAAGAACTAAAAGATATTTGAAGTAAAGGTACTTTAAATACATGACATAGCCTATGTAATTGAGGGATAAATATTAGGAATGATCATTACCTTTTACTGCCCTGATTAGAGAAAAGGTCTTGCTTGATCTTTGGTTATAGCCTTGTCACATGGGATTTATTAAGTAAAGTTATGACTTTTTATGTGTCTCCTATTTAAGATTAAGTTACTAAACGGGAAGGAGCATGATTTATAAAGCCTGTAAATACTACTATTAAATATCCTCAACATAGATTACAAGGCACCAACATATAATTAAAGTAACAAAATTCTCTTTGTTGTGAGATCAGCATATACCATTTTCTTTTCCAAAGTGCAAGGTGAATACAGGATTAATAACCAATCTGCACTCATTCTTTAAGTGAAAGCAACAATAGCTCTTGCTATTCTTGCTTGCTACAACTGTTCCCACTTTCATATTCCCTCAGTACTTTATTACAGTACATAGTGCACATGTTCTTTCATTTAGCAATGTCATTGCTAGACACTGAACTCCCTGAGAGAAAGGGTTGTTTCTTATTAATCTTTATTGTCATCATCAGTGACCAATATCTGGCATATTGTTGGTGCTTAATTAACATTAATCGATACATCCATGAAGCAAAACACAGGGACAAAAGAACAGGAAATATTTACTTAATACTAACGGCAGGCATTGGTGCTAAACACTTCACTTGAGTTATCTCATTTAAATTATAGCATCCTAGGTCACGGATGCTAGGGTGGTGGGAGAACTAAGGGTACTACAAGTGAGGGGAGAAAGCAAATGTACAAAAATGAACAATGATGTAAGAAAGTAAATTAAAAAATTGTAACAACCTTTAAGGGCGGGGTGGGGAAACATTGGTTTAGAGAGGGTAGGATTATCTGAAGAGCAGAGAACAATTAGGATTAAGCCATGAAAGTGACAGCACTCTCCAGGGAGCAATGCTGGCCAGCCCGACCGCCTGGGTTCAGGTCCCAGCTCTCCACGGCTCTGCGTGACCTTGCTTGAACCACCACCTTTCCGCACTAATACCCGTACAGGTGGTGTTCCTCCACCTGCGCCCATCACCCCCTGTCCCATTTCGCAAGGTTGACCCTCAGGACTAAAAGAGCCTGTGACCCTGTGAACACTGGTGCCCTCGGCAAGGATGCTAGCCCATATTCTGGGGCCAGTCAATCCGTCCTAGTAGGCAAGTCCCCGACGGAGTCTGGCTCCAGGTCCGCTCCCGCGGCCCCCGGACTCACCTGCGCGGGTCGTGGGTCGCCCCGCCAGCCTGCGCGCGGCCCCGGCAGCCCGCGCAGGGCGCCAAGGGCGCGGAAGCGCGCGGGCGTAGCTCAGCATCCGGGCTCCAGAGGCTCCGGGCGCCGCACAGACGCTGACACCCCGCCCGGCGCCCGCTCAGCCTTTTGACTGCCCGGTAGAGGGGCGGAGCCTATCGGGGGCGGAGTCTGGGCCTGGAAGGCCGAGCTAGGCGCCGGGTCGGAAGACTCTGACCTCCGCGGGCGCCGGGGTCACTTCCGGGACAGCCCCGACCTTTGGCTGAAGGTCCCAGTGGCCGCGTCAGGCGGAGCGACGAGCTCGGAGTTCCGCGGCGGGGGCTGCCAGGAGGCCCCGGATCTCCGCTCCGCGAGTGGCGGCTTTGCTTGCTTCCCGTCGTCTTCTCCGTGCCGAAGCCCGTGCTCTTTGTGTCCAAGTGGTTCTCTCGCCCTCACGACGAAGGGGAACAATAAAATGTTTTCTTATAAGCCCCGGGCAAGTTCCTGGTGTTTTAGGGCAGCCCCAATATTGAACGGGTTCCTGGCTGTGGGTCCTCACCCGCGCGCTTAAAAGGGACTTATGAATACTCCACTACAGGCACACACAAAGGTTAATAAAAGGTTTATTACAAGGGAAAAGGAAATAAGGAAAATGTACAACTCAGGGAGAAAATTGGGAAATAAAATCTTTAATGCGTCCTACCGATCTGACGACCTGGAAGCCCAAAAAGCACTCTCAGAGCTGGCCAGATGCGCCGAACTGCGGGAGAGCCAAACAGTGGGACACCCCCACAAAGGCTCACGTGCCTGGCTTTATACCACCTGGCTGCTTAACCCACCCTGGGGTCCCAGCAACCCTCCCTTTCGTGGTGATGGAATTGGAGCTCCAGGTGTCTTTGGCCTGGGGTGGGGGTGGAGTCCACAAAGCTGTATGGAATTAGCTTTAGGACATCCTTT